GTTTACATGACACAAGAAAACATCTTCATTCCCGTTTACATGCTATTTTCATTATTCTGACTATTCGTTAAGTGTGGTTATTTTTATCAACATAATTTTTGCTGAGGGATATGAGAATAATGAACTCTCATACATTAGGCGCGTTACTGGCCACTGTTTTAATCTGTTTATTCTGTGCAGTGATGAAAATGCCACTGGTAACTGTTGCCTTCGCTGCATCGTTTCTTTTTTTTTGTTTGTTTTTTGTGCCGTCTCTGGATGAACATTTGGGACGAAGGCTGCGCAGCGAGCTGTGTTGTTTAGCGATTCGAAGTGGAAGAAACGTGAAGTTGTGTGAACAGCACGGCATCCGTGTACGTCTGAGCACATGCGCACTTTGGTTCAGAGCAGCAGTAATGCGATTAAGGTTTATATGCCTGTATATTTCGATTAAAATCAGCGTACGCCACCTATATTAATAAGATTATGCTTGCTGCGATTATAAGCTTAATCGCATTATTTAGATCGAAGTATTGCGTTTACATGAGGTAAAGTTTAATCACAATATTGCCAAAATCTCATTATAATCGCATTAAGAGGGTGCATGTAAATGCACTGCCGTTTATTGTGTTTTTCGTTTGTTCCACTAGGTTAAAAAAATAAAAATAAATAAATAAACAGAACAGAACACATATTGGGCTAATCTTACCCAGCAAATTGTGGATAATTGCTTTTATTTTTGTTAAATACAGTTCTTAATATAACATATTTTACCGCTTAAACACGTATACAATATTTCTTACATTTAAACTCGTTTAACAACAATTTTAGAAGTAAAAAAAATATATATTTAAAAGTAATCAGTCGAAAAGACTGATGCGAGGACATCGCGTCCTTGTTTGCTTTGCATAAAATAAAATGATCTACAGCAAAGAAACTGTTTTATAGATAAAATATACACAAACCTATATTTTAACAAAGAAATGCAAGTTGACGGCAGCACTGAGAACTGCTCTGAAAAAAATGCAGTCCGCGCTCATTACAACCGCTCTGTTGTTGCGACTGTCCGGTCCCAGGAGCTGGGTTACACAAAAGCTACCCAAACACTTAAAAAAAAATGTTTGGTTAAAATGAAATAATGATTTTATAAAAACCATGATTTTTTTTTAGAGTACATGCACACTATAAGAGCAACTGATGCAAGCTATTAATCACTTAAGTTGGTCCACTAATGTTGCAATTTACAAATTAAGCACTGCTCATACTAGTGGTGCGGAGGAAATGGTTGCTATTTTAGTCAAAGCGTGAAAAGGAAATTTAAAAGGTAAAATAATATAAAATATCAGTCGATTAAAAATATTGATGTTGACTAATTATCAGCATCGACGCAGTCGATTATATCGACCAATCGCGACAGCCCTATATTCAAGTAATAAATATAACAAGAAAATCACTTCAGCTTTTGAAATGAGCCAACAAAACATGGCATTCTCTATAAGTTTTCTGAATCTGCCAACTCAAATAAATCACACAAATTCTTTAATTATTTTGTTCACTTTCAGCAGAAAAAATAATTAAATACAAATATATTAATCAGCTGCATTACAGACAAAAAATATCTCTGTTTGAATGTAAACAAATCTCTTGGCAGCAGCATTAAGAGGCTTTAAGGGGCATTTACTTCAGGGCACATAGAATGTAACGATTCACTCAATTATCATTAACACGTGTTTCTAAGTCTTACCAATTTAAACATTCAAGCGTTATAAACCATTCATGCGCATGAAGAATTCAGTTCGGTGCTCGCGCTCACACGCTCAAAGCGCGCACATACAGAGCGGCATTTCAGGCAGAGCACGAACACAGAATTGATTCCTCTTTCGCTTGAACGGACACATACACGCAAAATTATCTCAAAATAACTATCTCGGCAAGTATTTTCATGTCTTAAATGAACGTAAACAGTGGAGAAAGAAATTGCACGTGCATCATATTGGATCCGTGCATTCAGTCTTAAAGGGGCAGCAGCCTATAAATACCTGCTCTTTAAGCGTGTTAGAACGAGCCGTTTTAGGTAGGTGTGGTTGACTCTTAACTTTTATAAAGAATATCTCTTTGGATTTGAGACTTTAGTCTTTGCAGTTATACCTCATAACCTTACTTCAACTGAATTTCCTATTTCGGATCACAAGTCTATATTCTTTAATATTTCCCTTTTTTTGGCAAGAGTTAAACCTCAACGCTCTGTCTCATTTCGTAATATCAAAAATATTCAGTCGTCTCTATTTTTACAGCTATAGTGTGTTCTTCATTATCAACTGCTACTGTTCCACAGCTATATCACCCTGCAGCCCAAGACTGGTCACCACTGAAGCTAAGCAGGGTTGAGCCTGGTCAGTACCTGGATGGGAGACCTTCTGGAAAAACTGGGTTGCTGTTGGAAGAGGTGTTAGTGAGGCCAGTGGGGGTGCTCACCCTGTAGTCTGTGGGTTCTAATGCCCCAGTATAGTGACGGGGACACTATAACTGTCAAAAAGCACCGTCTTTCGGATGAGATGTTAACCCCATGGCACTTCTCGTAAAGCGTAGGGTGTAACCCTGGTGTCCTGGCCAAATTGCCCTCCTGGCCTTTGTCAATCATGGCCTCCTAATAATCCCCAACCACTTGATTGGCTCTATGACTCTCTCTCCTCTCCACCTGTAGCTGGTGTGTAGTGAGCGCACTGGCGCCATTGTACTGTGGCTGCCGTCGCATCATCCAGGTGGATGCTGCACACTAGTTGTGGTTGAGGAGAGACCCCACCCACATGATTGTAAATAATATAAATTCACGTCTCGCGCACTTTAATGCCCTTTGATTGTAACGTGTACATTCCCTTGGAACTGTAATCATGGCGGAATTTCATATGAAGTCCACTTCGCCGGGCACTTACGGTCGAATAAGACCACACTTGAATGCTGCTGCCTGAACAAGAGACCTCCTTACTGAAGTGAAAGTGTTGACTGGTGTCACTATTTCGCGCACGCGCCGGCGGATCTCCACCAAATTCGGGGGATCCCTTCAGCTCGAGGAGCCCTCTCGAACGCCACCCTCCACGCGTCTGTAGTAGGGCTGGGTATCGATTCAGATGTCCCGATTCGATTCGATTTCGATTCGCAAGCTCTCGATTCGAGAGGAGCCCTCTCGAACGCCACCCTCCACGCGTCGGTAGCCCCCCGGGATCGCTAGATCGGTCGGCGCCAGACCGCGAATTTTACCACCCGTAACTCCCGAATCCCGGGGGCTATGGACGCGGAGGTGGTCTCATTCGAAAGCGGGCCTCTAGGCGTACACTCGATTCACGTTCGAGAGGGTTCCTCAAGCTGAAGGGATCCCCCGAATTTGATGCGGATTCGCCGCGCCGTTATGGAAATATGGCCGTTCAAAATTTCAATGGTTTTCCATAGACTTGAGCTTTAAAGCGTTTCATCCAGGTCGCCAGTAGCAAACAATGGAGCGCGCTCTGCTGGACAAACTACGTAATTACACTATTTCAAGCATTTTATCTGTGTTATATGTTCTGTAAAAAAAAATTAATATCGGCGGCATATCTGCCGATGCAGATATATCGGCGACAGGCTCATATCGGCAAACCGATATATCGGTCGGGCTCTAGTAATGACATTTATGAGCATTTTCAATCAGGTTTCTGACCCAAACATTGTACAGAAACAGCTCTTGTTAAGGTTATAAATGATCTTCTAGCTGCTGATTCTGGTCTTCTGTCTATTCTTATTCTTTTAGATATTAGTGCTGCCTTTGATACTATTAGTCATTCAGTATTATTGGAACGGCTGGCTTGCATAGGAATAGCTGATAATGCGCTTCTTTGGTTTTCAACTTAAGTGACAGAAAACCGTTTGTGCAGATTAAGAATACATGTTCAGATCCTTTCTCAGTTACTCATGCCATTCCATATTCTACCTCTTGGTCGTATTTTTTGTTCTTATGGTATTGATATCCATTTTTACGCTGACGACACACACGTGTATATTTCTACAAGACCTAATGTTTCTCATCCCCCTCCTTACCTTACTAAATGTTTGCAGGACATTAATATTTGGATGACAAATAATTGTTTTAAAGTTAAATACCAATAAAACAGAAGCCCTCCATGTGGGTTCTAGGTATGTTTGATCTAAAACTCAATCCTTTACCTTGTTTATTGACAATTGCTGTTAATTTTTCTACCCATGTGAAAAGTCTTGGGGTTATGAAATCTTTAAAAATTACAGCTGTATAAAACCACAGACCAGCAATAAAATGTAAATTTATAATATCATGGATTTAATAGTACAAGTCACACAATCTTATACAGCTAGTCAGCTAACTGTGTTCTGTAGCATCTGCGCTATGTTGCTAAAACTCTTTTGGATCTAACTGTAATTATTTCCCATATCCAAGTTCCAGGTTATAATATGCAAAAGACTAAACATTAATCTCTTAATTTTACAGTAAGTAGAGAAACTTACCCAAAATAAAGGCGTAAACATCTAAAAATGCACATTTAAAAGGGATCCTCTTTTGGTAAAAGTTGTCAGACAGCTTTCAAAATTAAAAAACCAAAATTACAGGAGGTATGTAGTAACAAACAAATCAATTGCTTAAGACATCAAGTATGATAATACATTATTTTTTCTTTTTATAATCTGAGCTCAAAAATGGAAGTGTGCGTACGTTTACTTTAATTGTGTCATCGATCAAAAATATTTAATAGTTCTAACTACAGAAACACTACACTACATGCGCCTATAATGCTTTAAAAATAATTGAATTATCAATGTACCTAGTTCATGCAAAGTTTCAGGGACATAAATAATTTTATGAAAATGCATCAAAATTATTGTAATATTTTATAACAGTTGTCTATTTTCTGCTATTACATCAGGGCTCACTTTTCTGTCCTTTCAATTCAGATTCCTGTTTTTGAATTATTTTGGTTTAGGTAAACTTTTTTTTTCTTTCTTTCTTTTCAGACCCGATGGAAGAGAACGAGGAGAGTGAAGAAGTGGAGGAGAAACCTCATGTCAAACCTGAAGAGAAACCTCTGAGTCACTCAAAAACTAAAAAGAAATTAAAGAAAAGAAGACCTGAGAAATCTTTCACCTGCACTCAGTGTGGAACGAGTTTCACATACAAAAACGCTCTTGAGATTCACATGAGAATCCACACGGGAGAAAAGCCACACGCATGTGATCAATGTGAAAAGAGTTTCCCATACAAACAAAGTCTTAAGATTCACATGAGAGTTCATACTGGAGAGAGACCGTATGCATGTGATCAATGTGGAAAGAGTTTCCCATACAGACGAAGTCTTGTGTTTCACATGGAGGTTCATACTGGAGAGAAGCCATTCACATGTGATCAGTGTGGAAAGAGTTTCATACATTCATCAAACTTTAAACGGCACATGAAGATCCACACTGGAGAAAAGCCATTCACATGTGATCAATGTGGCAAGACATTTCTTAGGGCATCACAACTGAAGACACACCTGACAGTTCATACGAAGGAGAAGCCACATTCATGTTCTTCATGTGGAAAGAGTTTTTCACAGCTGGAAAGTTTACATAGGATTCATACTGGAGAAAAACTTTATAACTGTTCACACTGCGAGAAGAGATTCTGAAGCTACACATGAAGATCCATGCAGTAAAGAAACCAGACCACGGTGATCCGTGCGGGCAGAGTTTCACCCCGTTGCCTTCTTTATTCACTCACAACAATCACAGTCTGAAATCACATTAAACGGTTCATCTCTATGTGCTGTGCAATAAAGTTTTTTCTGTGTAAGTTAGTTTCCTAACAGCCACAAATAGTAACAGGACATTTTGTTGGTTGCTTGGAAAGTATCTCATTATTATGAGAAAGTATGTCATTATTATGCGATATTATGTCAGAGTTCCTCAATAGGCGGCCTGTGCTAATTTCAAGTAGTGTTATCAAGGTAATGTCGGCGTAAGCACATAACTGGTGCGAAAATTAAAACGCAGCATCATTGGCAGCTTTGTCTGACAGTGAAAATCACACTCACCATGAGTGTGGAGAAAAGTGGAAACGGAAAATAGACGATTCAAATGTGAATGGACTGAACAAATTTATTTTATTTTGCCTGACCACCACAATGCAAAGCCACCATGTTTGTTATGCACGCAGACTAACATGAAATGCCATTTCAATACATTGTGTATGTATACAAATACATTCATTTTGACTGCAATTATCCAGAACATTCTGAGAGCTGCAAACAGAAGGTAACACAATTGGTGGCAGATTACAAGCAATCATTGCTGTTCTTCACAAAAACACATCCATACAGGTGAATGCACAACTGTGCAATTCACATCGTGGAGGAAGCTTTAAATCATGATGACAAAGCAAAGAAAATGGATGTGGAGCTATTAAAGAAGGTGCCATTATCCGATTGCATGGCAACAAGAAGAGTAGAGGCATTGGCGGGTGAGTGTCTGTCTAATCTTTTATCCGACAGAAAAAAAGAATGCTGAAGTCATGTCACTTGCAACAGACTCGTCTTGCGTCTGAACCGACATTGAACCATTGAAACATTGGATGATTTTGTACCTTCAGCCTGGAATAATTCCATTATCATCTCGGTACCCAAAATACCCCACGCAAAATTGGTAAATGACTTTCGTCCAATTGCGCTCACATCAGTTCTTTGCATGCATGGAATGCATAGTGTGTCAGGAATTTGTCATTTCAAATTGAGAGATCCATTGACCCCCTGCAGTTTGCATATCGGGCCAGTCGGAGCACTGTGGATGCCTCTCTCACTTATTTGAATAAAGTTCAACATTATCTAAATAAGCCAAATATGTATGTTAGAATACTCCTTAAGGAGTAATACTCGCCTTTATGTTTTAGGTGTTAGTTGTTGGATGATATCATGGATTAAGGAATTTTCAAGAGATCAACCTCAGCGTGTTTGTATTAATAATGTCATGTCTGACTGCTTGGTTTTAAATACTGGGGTACCGCAGGGATGCGTCCTGTCTCCAATACTGTTTTATTCATACATCAATGAACTGCTTTGTGATGAAGATAACATATCCCTCATAAAGTATGCTGATGCTATGGCATTGGTCTCCTGTCAGAAAGAAATGAATTGCTCCTCATATTTTGAGTATATCGACAGTATTATTTGTTGGTTTGATATTTTAATATTTAAAAGACAAAACAGCTATGCCTGAGGAATCAAACAAGAGTAGTAGATTCAAGCTCTGAATACAAACCAGTCATTGTAAAAGGAAAAACTGTAGAGCAGGTCTCGAATTTTAAATATTTAGGAACAGTCATCGATTATAAACTTAACCTTGAAAATAACGTAGAGTCCATCTATAAGAAGGCAAGACAACGGCTTGGTCGTCTTAGAAAACAGTGGAGTTTTAACGTTGGTACACATGGTAACTATGGCATACAGATCTATGATTGAGAGCATTCTCACATATAATATTGTCTCATGGTACGTTAAAACAACATTTAAACAGAAGAACAAACTTTCACGAATTATTAATAGGCAAATAAGATTACTGGGCATAAACAACACTTGGGCTTATTTGATTATATTTATGGAAAAAAGACGGCAATTGCGATTTGTTTAAATAACATCCACCCCCTTCATTCTGCTTTTGAGACTCAAAATTCCTTTAGCCAGAAGAAATGCGTACAAAAAATTGTATGTCCCAATGGCAGTGGTTATTTTAAATCTGATTATTTTTTTGAAGTAAATGGTTGGCATTATAGTGTTTAATGAATTGTTAGGATGTTTGATGTTTTGTTTTTTTTTGTCATGGGGGATGATTAGAAATGAATGATGAGGTTAGTGTTAAAGGGACTGTTCACCCAAAAATGAAAATGCTGTCATTAATTACCCTCATGTCGTTCCAAACCCATAAGACCTTTGTTCATCTTTGGAACACAATTTAAGATATGTTTGATGAAATCTCAGAGCTTTCAGACCCTCCCATAGACAACATGGGTCCTTACACGATCAAGACACAGAAAAGTGCCAAGATGATCAGTCATCGATTATAAACTTAAATCAAATAAATATTTTCCCCACTTTTGTGAGAATGTATGCATTTTTATTGAATGAACATCCAACACACAAGCATTTGAAAACATGAACTTGTGGCGCTTGGGAACCGGGCTGCTCACGCACTCTCCTCCTCTCTTCTGACCGCCAGGACAACGGCTTAGCCGGCGGCGGCGGGCGAGAGTCACGTCGCGGGCTCCTCCGTCGCCTGAAAAACCTGCAGCACTGCCATGGCGTCCAGCGCGGAAGCCGCCTCGCCATCAGACGCATATGCTTTATTGGCAAGGTGGGCGGTGGTCCTGCATGGCTTTGAGGGGAGGCTGATGTGCCTAGGGTCTTGAGCCTAGGGTCTTGGCTGCTGCAGGACACAGGTGCGCAGCGACGGTCTCCTCGACTGGGGGAGAGCGCACGTACCCGTGGGCCTCCGCCCCATCCACGTGGGAAAAAATGGCCTGTGTGGCAGAGGGGACGCGCGCGCGTGGGCCTCCGCCCCATCCACGTGGGAAAAAATGGCCTGTGTGGCAGAGTGGACGCGCGCTGATTGGGGCGCAGACCATGTTTTCACCAGCTGCTCATGTACGTCAGGGAAAAAGGGGACCGACGTCCTCGAGTCAGCATTCCGGGTGGACCTGAAATACCACGAGTCAAGCTTACTCCTGGCAGGCTCCTCTGGAGGACACCAGGTAAGCTCCAACTCCTGGACAGCCCTTGACAGAACCCTCATGAGTTCCCATAATGGAGAAATATCTCCGTGATGTCTCGTGAAAGCTCGAGAGGGAACATGGAAACATCAAAGAGCTTTAATATGTTGTGCAAATCAACTGTTCATGCTCATTCCCAGACTGGATCTCTTCTCTCCACTTTCCCTAATTGCAGATTCAATTATTAGATTTGTCAGTATTAATATTTTTATGCTTAGATTTTTTTGGGGGGGATCAAACTGTAACACCGTGTGTCTCAACCAGACACGACGCGATAAAAAGTATCTTTTCCTTGTAGTTTTTGTCTATAGTGAAAGCAACAATAGATATTTTACCTTAGATCTTGAAAATAAATTAAAGCAAACTTGTACGTTAAAACTGTGAACTCACTGCGAAAGATATCAGTCACTCACTCAAAACTGTTCAGTCCATTCACATTTGAATCATCTATTGTCCGTGTCCACTTTTCTTTTCTACACACTCACCATGTTTTTGCCGTCACGTCGTATCTACACTGGACGCGACAAAGCATTGCAAATCATTTGAACGTTGTGTCAGTACGTTATAAATAGAATGAGTCAGCAGTTTACTGTCGGGGATTTGTCGTGTCGCGCCACATCCAAGACAGCATCACTGATTATAACGAGTTCTATTGTATTTTATTGTGCCGCTCGCGTCCGGTGTAGACACGATGTAAGTTAATGTAGCTTTCTGATGCTGCGTTTGAATTTTCATGCCACATTATTTGAAATTAGCGCGGGCCAAACTTTTTTTCTCTCACGGACCGGATGTGGCCCGCGGGCCGCCTATTGAGGAACCCTGATCTAGACTTTGAGCATGTGAAATTTTAACAGACACTGAAACGCTCATGATATGGTGTCACACTCTGTGGCGTCTTATTTAAAGACACAAATTCAACATATAATAGTCGATGCGATGATGTATCGTCACAGGGATTTGATGATACGAATATCGATACAGCTGTCTCTGTATCAATCGTGGCACGTGCGCAGCATTGGACCACGCTTAATTTGAATACAAGAACAGAGTTTAAAACTGAGTGGAAAAGAAATATCTACGAAGTGTGTTACTTATTTTTTGTCAACATGGCAACCATGTGCACGCGCTCTCTTTCCACTGTGGATAAAAGCGCTGGCTTTCTGAAAACAACGGTATGCTTGCAGTTTTGCAATCTCCACTTCGATAATCTATTCTCAGAAAAGTGTAATTCATCAAGTGTTCATTTATGAGAGAGAGAGAGAGAGGCTGTGTATGTATGAATTACCTCCGTTTT